CTAAAAGGGAAGAGATTATTTGCAGAATTTGCTAGGTAGGGTTTGAGAGGATCCTGGACTTTCTTATGGAAAACACACCAGAAGTAGACACAGTACGTACAAGAGGTAGATTCAAACAGATTTTTGCAAATGAAGGGAGGTGTGTAACATGTTTGCCTGAGAAAAATCTCTTCTGAGATGCACATTTGATCCTGTTTTCCCTCCTTTTCTCCCTATTAACTCTTTTCTTTTTTTTATTAAGGTTAGTGAGAGGAGGCTAAGAATATCCCTGAGAATTCCTCAGGGTAAGGTAGAAAGTAGGAAAACTTCTTAACTCCTGTCAGGTCAATCTTGACTCCATTCCAGGTCATTGGAGTTAGAGCTTCAAGGGTAAAACATGTTTGGAAGAGATGATTTCTGTGAAATGCTAATTACGTGAGTCCTCACATGTTGCAAAGGTGACTGGGGTCGGGTGTAGCAATTGTCTGCTTAAAAATCTAGTGCCTTGTAACTATGATCTATATTTTAAATATTCTTCAACAGCTCATAGATTCAGGAAGGAAAACCCATGCTGTGTGTGTGTGTGCTTACTGTATGTGCTAAACTTATTAGGGGATTTATAGACTCTAACATGTTGTTGGGGCGGAGGGCGAAGCCATCTTTATTGATTTGCTGAAAATGGTGTTGTCAGACAATACAGTCAGCTTCTTGGTATTTCACCTTCCTGCCCATCTCCTCCACCAGTATATTTTTATCCCGTTGGAAGGGTCTCTTGTATAATTTTATATATTTTATTGAAGAGTTATTTCTTATCTCTTACTCTGAATTAAATTAAAATGTTTTATTGTGGTAAAGTTTGTCCCAACTCACAGTTATTTTAAAAAGCACTCTATTCTTAGCTAGATTGGGGGGGGGCATCCAGATAAGGGGGAGAACTGGCACTTTTAGTTCCTCTATTAATGTAAATCAAGTCGAGTTATGGCCAAATTTGGGTGGTAGAGGAGTCAGCTGCAAGTCCTTGGAAACGTCAGCTGGCCGCCTGTATGGCTCAGGGAGAAGCTGTTGGAATCACCATTAGAAGTTTGTCAAGCTGTAGTGAAGATGAGCTTTTTCAAAGTGGTGAGGCGGTGCCCCCCAGACCCCTACTAGTCTGTAGATGGTCCTGGGAAAATCTTGAACTTGGAAATTTGCAACCACCAACACAACTGAAGTTGAGAAAGGGTCTTGACGCTCTGTGCTGACTGGTGGGAGCAGAAAGAGTGTGCAGCGTTGGGAAGCCTGGAAAAGGATGCAGGGGTTTGTCGGGCTGGCCTCTCTGTGCATGGAGATGGACCCCAAGAGAGCACAATTTTCTATTTGAAGAGGGCTAACCAGCCCACCTATCCCAAAAGAACTTAGGTGCTCGCTCTCCCTGCATCAGGCTTGGTTTTAAGACATAGCCATAAAAATAAGAATAGAGGTGGGGAGACTGGAGAGGATTTTAAACTCAAGTTTTCTGTTGTGCTGGAGATGACTTTCGGTTTCCTTCGGAGACGCTTTTGTCACCTTGGGAACACAGACGAGGGGCGTAAGGACGTCGTGGTGTGACACCAATCATTTGTGCGGTGGAGAATTGGGCACTTTCAGGGAGTTGCCAGCGCATGGCACTCACCTTGGAGGTGGGCATCCGAAAATCCGTGTTTGTGAGCCCGAGGCTCATCATGGTGATTGGGCCCCATTCCTTAGATCCAAAACCTATCCCGCACACACTGCAAGTTGGAGGACTGCGTCCTGCCCCATGGTTACCGCCCTCAGCTGAGCTGCGGCGGGTCCCAGAGCCACCAACATGTTCTCTTCTGCTTCTCTTCAGGCCTCTCGGTCCCTGTAGTCCGAATTCCAGGCCAGAATCTGCCACACTCATTTAAGAGATGCGTTTCCCAAAGGCCAAAGTCCTTCCCGGTTTCGTCATCAGCCGCCAAGGGGTCTCTAATTACCCTGTCCACCAAGCTTCCTTCCCGGCGCCTCGTGGGCCGGTAACCTCGGGCGGTGATAGCTGGGGTGGGGACCTGGAGACGCCGGCCTCTGGGTTAAGCTTGCCCCCGGAGGTAAGGTATTAAGTCCGGAGTATGATTCTAAGAACCCGGTCAGACAAGTGCGGTAAACTGGAATCAGGCTGGCTGGGCACCACACACGTGATCCCAGATCCAATACTCAGGAAGAGTTGTTCTGGCTCCAAAGTAACCGGGTTCAGCGCTCCAGAGTGGATGGGCTTTCCCCGCTGAGGTTGGCAGAACTGCGTGCTGTGCTCTGGGCTGCTCACCACCCTCCTGTCTAGGTTGCGTCTCACCTCGGTCAGACCTGGTCCTGCACGCAGGGTGTTTCAGAGACCGGACTGGCAACCTGAGCAGGCTAGAAGACCTTCCCTTGCCCAGGACCCACACCGCAGAGGCAATTGGTAATTAAAGCTCAGGGTACTCCTGTGAAGTCCTTGGTCATCTCTGCATTAACTGCCAGTAGCCCGGCATACAATACATACACCTGCCCTGCCATGTTTTAATTCTCGCCACAAAAACAAAACAGAACAAAAAACTTGGACGCAATGCTTTTTTAAATAAGGAAAGGGACAGGGGTTTGCATTTATAGAGCTGAGGAGCCGGTGCTTAGGGTTGAAGGGGCCATCATCGTTCTTGAACCCGTATTCGTCACACATCCTTAGGAGAGGTCCTACTTGTCACCGACAGTCGTGGAAACTAATGCCCAGAGGGGTAGCTCACTGAGGTCACGGAACTTGTAGATGGAGGCGATGGCTGGGGAATCCAGCTGAAGGGTGAGCTGAGGAGGTGGTGAACGATGGGGTGGCACAGAAGGCGCGCTCGGCAAGCAGCTTGCGGGGATCTGGAGGGCCGGCTTTGGAGTTCTGCCCCGACTCCAGTGCCTCATTGCTGAGGGGCTTCGGCAGGGCATCTCCAGCCCATTGGCCCCAGGACCCAGCCCGCCCCTCCCCCGCTCGGTCCTGCCTTGGGGATGCGGGGGCAGGGGCCGTAGGAGGTAGGCGGCTGAGGCCTGGCTGAGAGCGGGAGCTGGCGAAACGTCTGCCTGACCCGACTGAAAAGGGGATGCCTGCCTTTGAGCGCAACCTTGTCTGACCGAAAGAAAACTCCCACGGCCATTCTTTGCTATGAAAGCCTCTCATTTGCCACGGGTTGGAGAGGCCATTGCCCCACCCCCATTCCCTTTCCACTGCCGGGCTGGAAATAAGCATAAACCTCATTTATAAAGGAACCCACGTCACACGCACACACACCCTCCCCAGAATCACAGGGCCTGGTTGGTGAAGTCGATTGTGCCTGCTTCCCCTTTCATGTAAGAACAACAAAAAAACTCCGAGATGGGTGACGGTACAGGCCGCTTTAATGAAATAAAGTAGTCACAGCAAGGAGGAAAAGGCTCCTGTCAACCTCCAGGCCCCTGAACCCGCCCCTCACCCCAGACACCGTCTCCCTCCACCCTCCCGAACAAAATGAGCAGCAGTCAAATGACTTTCTGAAACAGCCCGCTTCAAAGCCGAGCGGAGGGCTCGCTGCAGACTCCTGAATACTGGCCCGATAAGGTCCTAATAGCCGAAGCCAAACTCCATACACCTCTGCCTTCCCAACCTCCTCCAACCTCGCTGCATTTGTTGATGAAAACACTTTGATGTCCTGAGTCCTCCAAACAATTATTATTATAATTTTAAACAACCTGGTATTTTCCATTACTAACGGCTCAAGCTTTGAAGTTACACCTCATAATTTCCTAAATTAAATAAATCATTTTAAGTTTGCACTGGGAGGCTTTTAATAGCAGAGAAAGGAATATCATTATCTTATTGAGACCCAATTGTGGTGGCTCCAGCTTGGCTGTAGCTGGGGGCAAGGCAGACCCAGTGTAACAGACATACTTTATTAACCTCCCATAACTCTTGAAAGAACAGTTTTATATTTTCTTTGATTTCCCCCCTCCCTCTCTTATTTTAAAGCTGTCCCAACCTTTAATTAGTGCTTAATATGAAAAGCATTATTTTTTTAATGCTATGTAATTTACCAGCGGCAACAGGCCAACTTAACAATTGTTTATTAGACTTGGTTTTTCACACAGGGCAAAGAATGCCGCTCTAAACCCAACTTTTCATGGGTGGTTGCACTAATTAATACAGTGTCTGAAGCTCCTAGGGTTTTTTTTTTTTAATATTGAAGCATATGAGGGCGGAGGGGGGTTTTCAAAGTTCAGCTCCTGCAGACGACATTCTCTGATTTCTTTCATGCTGTTTTGTCCTGTCTGTGAAGTTAACAGAGACAGAAACTGTTCCCTGGCTCCCCAGACGCGGAGATCCCAGCAACAGCAAGGGAACCCTGGGCACCTCTACTTGAAATTTATGACTTATGGGGCCAGGCTTGGGGGCTCAGGGGAGTCCATTGCTCATTACGGGTGGGGTCGCCCCTCATCCAGCCTGCAAGGGTGCAGAGCTGGCCTGATGCCTTGATCTGGGCCAAGCAAATGCCCGGGTGCCCCGAGCACGAGAGTGCTTGACGTTGGGCATAGAATTTGCTGCGCTGAGGCAAGAACTGGGGGTAAAGGGGTGGGATGTCGCCCCGCCGTCCATCTGACCCTGGGCTTCCTTCTCCTTCCTCATTCTTTTGTCTTATTTCCTTTTCGCGTCTTCTGTTCCTCCCCCATTCTTCCCCTCCTTTACTTTTCACGCCCATCCCACTTTCTGTCTCGTTAAGTTTTCCTGTCTCCGATTTGTTTTTAATGCGCTCATCCTGGTAACTTCTCCCTCCCACTCTTTTCTTCCCTCCTCCTTGCAGATGACATTGCTCCTGCGTAGCTCTCTCAATCTCCCACACCCCCGTTTTCTAAATTAGTACCATCCCCACCCTCTCCTCTCTCCCTCTTGTTGCTTCCAGTTTTCCTTCTGGCCCAGCAGCTCGGAGCAGGCGGGCGTCGCGCGGTCCGGAGCGGCTCATTCCGCGCAGGGTGGCTCGGCCCGGCTCCCTCTCGGGGGCTGCACCTGGCTAGCGAGTCAGCCTCTGACCGACCCGGGCGCGGGAAGGGGCTGCGACTCCGCGCCATCGGGACCGAGGCCCGGCGCGAGGCCCCTCCCGCCCCTCCCGCAGCCAGCCGCCCGTTTGAAGTCGCGAGCCGGGCAGGAATGCAGCCGGGTTATCAATCACCCAGCTGGATCCCAAAGGTCTCAGCCTAATCACATTTAATTGCTCGTGGAGGCCCATTCTCGCCCCCGGCTCGCCGCCGCGCTCAATTACTCCCCAAATACCTGCCATCAATAAGTGTGCACTGACACCGGACCCAGCCTGCTCCTCTGGTCCAAGAGATCCCAGGCGACCAGGTAGCCCCGACCCTGCCCCCAGCCCATCGTTAAAACTTACCCTTCGATTCCCAAGGGAACAAGCCGCGCCGAGGACAACCCCCACCCCTACCCCACTTGGTTGAGCGCTCCCCAAGGGGCTGGCTCTGATGCTCAGAGACTTGCACTCATCTTCTCTTTTCAGGGAATCGGGTTTACGTTGGGCGTTAGTTGTGCCCGAAGTGGTCAAGACAAGCAACTGGGGTGAAAGCTTGCCACCCATCCTAGCCACTGCGGCTGGAGGAAAACGTAAGACAATAGTGCCTCCCAGAGGCCGGAGATTGGCCTCCACCTTCCTCATGGTGGTGCGCCGGCCAGGCACTTCCCCAGCACTCCGGTGCCTGTCTGCGCCCGGCAGCTTCGTGAAGCAAGAACGCTTGGACTCGTTTTCCACGCGCGTCCCAGGGAGTCGAAGCACGATCTGAGCAGGGGAGAGCTGGGCCCAGACTCAAACCCTGGGTCCCCTAAGTAACGTTTTAGGACACGTTAGCTGCCGTCCATTCCTCTCCAGCCTCTCTTCTGTTAACTCACAGAAATCATGGTCTCCTCTCTCCCCCTCCCTACTCCCTCTCCCTCCAGAAAAGTACACTTCCGACTAGGAATTGCACAGAGAGGCGACACAGCGCTGCCCAAACACACAGCAGGTGAGCTTCGAGCCCAGAAATCCAGTCAGCTCAAGTCCAGCCCAGCCCAGCTACTCGCATGCCATCATCCTCCTGCTGAGAATCTTCCTTTTAAAAATCTGGGCATCCTGTCTCTTTTTCATGTGGCTCACCATTCACAGGGAGGTGATAATTACGTATCTACACAAGGCAAAGGCGGTCTATCAAACGGGAGCCTTGACGTTCTTTATTCCACCCCTTCTCCCTTTTGTTTGAAGTTGGTTCGTAGCTAAGCAGCTGAGGGTAGCCTTGAACTCCTGATCCTCCTGCCTCAGAGGGTTGGGATTATAGCTGTGCACTGCAACAGTTTCCAGCTTCAATATGCTTATCTTAATTCCTTACGTGCATATATATGTACAAAATAAGTTTTGTTGTCTAATGCCTTATATTCCATGTGAAATACTATCTTTATCATATAGAATATAAAAATGGATTTCAGAGTTCGTTTATTTGTTCAATCGTTGTTTCTTTCTCTCTTTCTTTTCCAAGTATACAGGTTCCTCAAAGGGGTTTCTGTATTGCTGGGAATGACATAAAACAAAAAAAACAGAGCGATTTGGGCAAAGCTTTGGCCATTTTTATTTCAATGCTGCAATTACTCGTGACTTTGTAAGGAAATGCTGTATGGCTGCACGGTGTCTCCTAGGTCCCCTCGCAGAAAGTGATCTGAAAGGTGGTGCTGATGGATGAGGCTGTTAGAGGTTGCACTGGCCATTTAGGGAAAGTCCAAAGGCTGCGGCAAGTTAGCCTGGCTGGTCCCTGTGGTTGGATTTCTCTTTGTTCAGCTGGCAATGAGAGCAGAGCAGAGCCCAAAAGACAATGTGGGAAGTCCCAGGGGTGAGGATGGGGAATCTGATCCTGGACTTGAGAATTCCAGGAAAGCAGCTAGGTGCCCTTAATGGATGTGGGCTGGGGACAGGCCAGTGTGCTTGTAATCTTTGGCCCCTGCCCTCTACCCCATCGTTGTCCCGTTAGTTGGGGTGTGCGGGCCCAGGGCAGTGCCAGGTGGCTGCTGCCTTTGAGAGTAGGTAGGCAGATCTAAGTATTCCTGGGTAGGGGTATTGATGCCTTTCATGGCTACCAGAAAGCCCCACCCATTCTGATGAAAAAGAAAATCTGTTCTTTTGCTTTGTGATTCCCTAGCCAATAAGTAGCCAGTGAGTACCAATGAAATCAGGTCCACAAGAAAAGATTCCATTAGAGAAAAGGCAGGATATTTCTAAAGCTTGGGGGAAATAAAAACTGAGTCAGACCTAAGATATCTTTCTCAGGGGTGACAATGCCCAGATTTTCTCCATACATGATCTCTGCCTGTATCTGGGTCAAGAAAGTAAAATCCTTAGGCTTTTCAGAAGAAAATAGATGTGGTAAGTCTTTGGGGGTATAAAATGACTGTCTGTGACTATATCTATCTACCTGTCGGTCTGTCTAAGTACCTACCAGTCATCTATGTATGTGCTAGCGGTTGATCCAGGATCACCTTGCACATGCTAGACTCTTCTCCTACTACTATGGACCGGCCACTGTGATACCGAGAGTATATAAACATCGCTCTCTTAAGTCAGCAGCAAGTCAAGAATTCCTTTGTTCTGGGCCTCAGCATACACCAGTGATCCTGACCCTTTGATGCCCTAAGACTGCCCTGAAATTCCCTAATCAAAATAATTGAATTCGGGGGCTGGAGAGATGGCTCAGAGGTTAAGAGCACCGACTGCTCTTCCAGAGGTCCTGAGTTCAATTCCCAGCACCCACATGGTGGCTCACAACCATCTGTAATGAGGTCTGGCTCCCTCTTCTGTGTACATAATGAATAAATAAATATTAAAAAAAAAAGAAACAACCAGATTTAAAAAAAATAATAATTGAATTCACTACAACTAAGAAGAAAAATATGCATTCTTCATCCTTTCCAACAGTAATTGACTTAAAGTACTTAATTGGCCTAAATCAGTAAAATTTCATTTTCACCCGAATCAATTATCATCCCCATTTCATAGAAAAGGAAACTGAGTCCCCAGAAGATTGCGGTGCTTGGCCCTGATCTCATGGTGAATGGCAGATAGAGAACAAATTGCAGAGGAACAAGTTCTTTGGATAACTGATGCCAGGCTTGGAATGTAGCTCAGTGGTAGAGCACCTACCCAGATGCTCATATTTCACAAGCTCTCTCTCTCTCTCTCTCTCTCTCTCTCTCTCTCTCTCTCTCTCTCTCTCTCTCTCTTTCTGTGTGTGTGTGTGTGTGTGTGTGTGTGTGTGTGTGTGTGTGTGTGTGCATGTATCTGAGGAGGCCAAAAGAGGGTGTTGGATCTCCTAGAGCCTGGAGTTACATGTGAACGTTAGTTCAAAATACAGAATTAAATGAAGGCTTCCTAAGTTAGAAAGTTCTCTAGGTGGACACAGAGAACTTCGTTAGAGTTGGTTTAAGAATGTGAGCCAGCCAGTGGTTGGTTAACATGTTCACAGTCAGGATACAAGAGTGGAGTTCCAGCTCCTGTTCCTTCCTCTCACTTCTCCCTCGCTCTCCCTGCTTTTGGTTTGGTTTGGTTTGGTTTTCCCTAGGTTCTCAGTGTACTGCCCAGGCTGGCCTTGAGTCTCTGGGTTCAAGCCGTCTTCCTCAATGTCCACCCCATTGAGCTTGTAAGTGTCCTTTAGTCTCCTGAAAGCCTCACTTTTCTCCTGTCCTGTGGAGCTTATAGGTTGCTTCTCTAGCTCTCGGTGGAAGGTTCGGAAGCATGGAGAAGGCTTTCTCCCCAGTCGGCCTTTGTGAGATGGGTCATGGGGCTCAGAAGTCAGTTTCTATTCGTGCGGAAATTAGAAGTCAGAGGCACAATTTCAGAACAAAATTTCTATTCCTCAGCTCTAAGTCTCTCTAGGGAGCGACAGGACTGTGTCATTTGAGGACATGATGACACAGGCCACAGGGTAAAGATCTTGAGGACAGTAAACCTTGTGAAGTGTAACTTCCCCCTCAGATTTCCACATCACATACATGTTAGTGATTCATGGATTCTGAAAGTCGCCTCCAAAGGCCAACAGCCTCCTAGCACTTATCAGAACCCCAGATTTCAAACCCCTGGGGCAGAATGAGGTCTCCTGTTTCTAAGCCTTCATCACTTTCAAAACTATATAACAGGCCATTTGCTGGGAGGTTATGAAACATGATCATAAATTAAAACTAAGTAACCCACGTAAAATAAGTGGACAAAGAGCACTCTGTAAGGCTGAGGGCTCTGGTTTGAATACCTTCACTTATTTATTTGGGTCCTTAGAGTTTTCAGAAGCCAGCTAACTCCATGGACTGTAAATCGATGGCAAGCCTGCTTACTGTTCCTGCAAAGCTTTATCCAAGAGCCATCTCAGAACTGATGGTAGGAAGTGCCACTCAGGTGGCCTTTTATGGTTTGCAAACTTCTGTCACCTGCGCTATTCCTACGCCTTGGATAGCTTGCATGCAAAGACAGGGCTGCGGGGGGGGGGGGGGGGATGGACGGGAGGGGACAGATGGATGGACAGACGAGGCATTCAGAAGAGTGCAGACTTGAAGCTGCAAACGGAAGACTCGAGCATGCTGTGGAACTTTAGGCTGTAATTTCAGCATCTGGGAAGCTGAGACAACAGGATCGCTGTGGGTTTGAGACCAGCCTGGGCCACACAATGAGTTCCAGGCCAGCCAGGACTATATACCACGTCTCAAAGGAATTTAATAACAAGCTTATTTTTAAAAGGAGTTTGGAGGCAAGCCACCATAGCTGGGAGAGAGGTGGAAGATGGATTGATGTAATGTTCATTTAGCCATTTGCAGTTAGTTCAGCGGACGGTCGTAAGCAGTTGCTATTTGTACTACTGTGACCCCCACACACCCGTTGATTCACACTCCCCAGACAATGCAGGCTGACTAGGAAAGATCAGAGAAGTGTGCCAGTTCTACTATGTTCAAACTTAGGGAATCCTGGAGAAATGTGGCGGTTACCATCTACAAGTCATTCTTTCTTGTAGATCCCAGTTCCTTTCCTTAGGAGCCTTTCCTCCTTCCCTTCTCCCTCTCTCCCTCCCCTTCTACCTTCTTTCTTCTTTTCTTTCAATTGTCACAAAATATAGATGTCAGAAAACTTGGCATTTCTACCACTTGTGAAATGTACAATTCAATGACAGTAGGTCCATTCACAATGTTATTAATATAAACCTTACTTACCACTGTTGTCTCCAGAACAAATTTCTTTCTTTATCTGGTGCTAGGACCTCATGAATGCCTGGCCAAGCATGTAAGCACTCTGTGGTATCTCCAGCCACCAAGTTTTTTTGTTTTTTGTTTTTGTTTGTTTGTTTTATCTTTCAAACTCTGTATCCAGTAAACAAAAGCTATTACTTCATTGCAGGCCCTGATATCCATTGTCTGCTGTCTCTGTGAATTTGATTATTCTAGATACATTACATAAACAGAAACATACAACATTTGACCTCCAGTGTCTGGTTTATTTTACTTAACACCATGCATTCAAAGTTCATTCATGTGACAGATTATGTCTAAATTTCCTTCCTTTTTACAGCTGCATGATATTTCATTGCATATACAGAGACATTAAGTCTATTCCATGTTCAAAGTTATATCTCAGGGTCCCCAACATGAGGTTTAACACTCACTATGCAATGGATCTTTCTCCAGATCAAGCACCATGAATATTACTTACTAAATATTATCTCATTGCATTCTCAAAGCAGCCCCCAAAGAAAAATACTGTTATCATCCACATGGTGTGAATGAAGAAATCAAGTGTGCACATGTGTGCACACGTGTGTGCACGTATGTGTGTGTGTGTGTGTGTGTGTGTGTGTGTGTGTGTGTTACGATACATTATTCATGGAATGATATAGCTTGGAATTATAATGCAGTAGGGAGAAAAACTCTCTAGATATGTCAATATTTTCAATTTCATGGCATGTTACTCTTTGAGATTCGGGGACAATAAATCAGCATTCCCAGGAATGAGCTTTCAATATTTTAAACACACTTCTAGCAACCTGCATGTTCTAGAATCTGAATAGCTAAGCTTCTTGATTGAAGACTACAATGCACTAAGTTCAGAAGTGCTCACAAAGAACTAAAGCCAACAAGAATATTCAAGAGAATGTATGATTCCAGTCCAGCTCTCCCAGTGAGGTGAGAGCCTCTCATGTAGTCACATGTGGACACAGCCTACTTGAGGACTTACTCTGCATTGAGAATGAGCTGTTCTCTGAGGGCATTCAACATACTTACACAAAATGCACTAAACACGTACACACTTTAGCACATATACTATGTATGTGCACTCTTTAGTAAGCACAGCAGCATTTTGCTTTAATCTACCCTTTCTTGTTCTCCTTTCTCAATGATATACTATGTCCACACAACAGCACTTAGTTTTGAGACTACAGTAAAATGATATGTAGCAAATGCTTCATG